TCCGGCACCTCCGATCTTCTGGGCAGGGGTAACTAAGGGCTGCGGCTCGCTGGCTGCCCTGGCCTGGTGCCGCCCTCATGCCCGAAGCCTGCGGGGCAGTGCCAGACTCCTTGGCCCGGGTGCTGGGCACGCCTGGGAGGAGGTGACCCTTGCCCTCCGGCTCCCACTGGCCTTGCACCAGGGTCCACCGCCTTCCCAGTCAGGCTGGTGGCAGCCGCCAGCCTTGCCAGGCTGCTGGGGTCCTCAGCTTGGCTCTCTCACCCACCCTGGGTTTTTCCCTGACCTGGAGGACCCTCTGGGACATGGCTTGCTGGCTCTGGCCTCCACGCCTCTCTGGGAGTTGCAGCCGGGACAGGAGGCACTGCAGCTGACCCTCAGGCGCGGTGGCACATCCTGCCCTACAGGTAGTGACCTGCAGAGCTCGCATTGCACCTTGGGCGAGGCCTTTGAGGACCTGGACTGGGAGACGGAGAGGGGCCTGGAGGCTGTAGCCTGTGACACTGAGGGCTTCGTGCCACCCAAGGTCATGGTGAGGCCCCACACAGCTGTTGCAGGCTGCTCAGCAGTGGGGAGGGGGGGGTCTCAGGGCTGCTCCTGCTGTCCACTGGCTCTGAGGCGGCCAGGGTGCTGAGTGGCCCCCCTGTTGTTCCCAGCTCATCTCCTCTAAAGTGCCCAAAGCTGAGTACATCCCCACCATCCTCCGCAGGGACGACCCCTCCATCATTCCCATTCTCTACGTGAGTGCCTGCCCAGCCCCCGTCGCGGTGTCGGGTGGGGGGTGCGGCCTGAGAAGGGCTCTGACGTGGGGCTGGCTTCCGTCTGTCCCAGGACCACGAGCACGCCACCTTTGAGGACATTCTGGGTAAGTACTCCGCGCCCCTGCGTTCTGGTCTTGGGGCTGCTGGGGGCACTCACACCTCTGCCTCCTGCAGAGGAGATCGAGAAGAAGCTGAACGGCTACCACAAGGGGGCCAGAATCTGGAAGATGCTGATTTTCTGCCAGGTAGGGTGGGGGTGGGGGGTGCCACCTCCCTGGGCATATGCACGTTTGTATCTGCATGTGTTGGGGCCAGCGGTGGTTGGACACCTCCGGTGCGCGGCCCCGTCAGCTAACTGCAGTCTCTCACAGGGCGGCCCAGGACACCTGTACTTGCTCAAGAACAAGGTGGCCACCTTTGCCAAAGTGGAGAAAGAAGAGGACATGATCCAGTGAGCTGGGGGGGCCTGGGAGGCTGGGGGGCTGGGGGCAGCACCTGCTGGGGCACTGTGTCCCCGCAGTGCCTCCTGTGATGCCTCCTCACACCTGGGGGTCAGGCTGGGGGCCACCTGTGACCACCCCTCCCCCACCAGCTTCTGGAAACGGTTGAGCCACTTGATGAGCAAAGTGAACCCGGAGCCGAACGTCATCCACGTCATGGGCTGCTACGTCCTGGGGAACCCCAACGGGGAGAAGGTATGGGGCCCAGACCCCACACCAGGCTGCAGACCGCAGACCGGTGAAGGGTTGATAGAACCCCCATTTCTCTCCAGATTCCCTTTCCCTTCTCATCCTCCCAGAGAAAGCCCCATGCCTGGACCTAACCAGCTGGGGGGGGTCCTGTCCCCCACCCCCCATTCTCCTCATCCCTCTCTCTTCCCCTGCCCTGAGCTCATGGCCCACCCCCTCTTTTCAGCTGTTCCAGAACCTCAGGACCCTCATGACCCCTTACAGGGTCACCTTCGAGTCCCCCCTGGAGCTGTCAGCCCAAGGTGAGTTTGCCGGGCTGGTCCCCAGTTGTGGGGTGGGTTCTGGGGGGCGGTGGCCTGAGCCCCGGCCTCGCTCCTCCTGCCTCAGGGAAGCAGATGATCGAGACCTACTTTGACTTCCGGCTGTACCGCCTGTGGAAAAGCCGCCAGCACTCGAAGCTGCTGGACTTTGAGGACGTTCTGTGAGGGGCAGGTCCACCACCCGGCCGCTTCCTCGGACCAGCGACGGGGGCTGGGCCGCTGTGTGCTGCCCAGTACCATGTGGGTCCTGGTCTTCACGGCCACTTCAGGGCACCCTCAGATGTCGCTCAGGTTCCCTCCCAGGGGTCTGGTCCTCAAGGCATCACGGGTCAAAGAGGTCCCAGCCCCCGCGCCTGGGAGGAGCCACCGCGGCCGGTGGATGTTGACCGGGTCTAGGCCTCGCCTGGAGGCTGCAGCTCTGGGGCGGCTCCTGTGCAGGGTCATAGAAATAAGTGCAATTTTTTACAACCCCTGAGACGATTCAGAGGGAAGCAGCATTACTGGTTAACTAGTTAAGTGCTACGTTACTAGTAACGGCGTAGACCACCCAGCTCAGCGTGTGTTCAAGACCTTGTCTGCCTCAGCGCCCCAGCCCTGCCGTATCTGATCACCAGCACCAGGGCGGCCCGCCTGCCCGGCCTGGCTCCGTCCCTGGCCGAGTCCCTGATCGTCTGTGCTTGCACTGCTCTCGCCACCCCGCTTACCTGGCCTCGGCTGCGCCGGCTCGGCAGGGGTGCCTGGGCAGCAGCTGGGGGGCACACCTTCCTTTCTTTCAGAGCGGGCACTGGGTCGAGCCAGGCCCTGCCTGCTCCCCGGCCTCCCAGGCCCGCCCAGCTCCCTGCTGCTGTCCAGCTCAGCTTTTGGCGGCTGAGTTCTGAAGGCCTCTCCTAGTGCAGAGCCCTGGGGTCTTGGCGGGGCCTGCCGGGGCTGGGTCCTGGTGGGTGAGAACCCTGCTGCACTCCACGTAGGGGCCTGGACCCTGCAGCCAGGGCCTGAGAGCTGGGCGGCCGGTGTGCTATGGGCTTGAAGCCTGGCCCGTGGCCCAGTGGGTGAGCTCTCTTGTACATAGCTGGGGCTCGGGGGCTGGCCCCCCTTTGCAGAGCCTGGTCTGAGACACCTGGCTGTGCCCCCAGCCAAGGGGGGGCGGGGGCTTGTGCCGGGCTCTGAAAAATGTACGACCTTCCTTAGAGTGACCATTAAATCTGATTCTCTGCTGCGGCCGCCGCGTGGGTCTCCTCTCTCAGCACCCACCGTCCACTACCTCCCTGGGCCAGAAGATTCTGGGCCCGCTGCTCTGAGGTTGTTGCTGTGGTGGCCGCCTGCACATCCTGGCCTGGACCAAGGGGGCGGGAGCCGCTAGGCCTGCCCTGCCAAGGGCACAGTCTGCAAGAGGTCTGGGGATGGGGCTCCCAGGGCTCCGGGGAAGTGTCTGAGAAAAGAGCAGGTCCTTGACACGGCTGCAGGATGTGGTCCTGTAGAGGAGCCAGGTGAGGTCGGGAGATGAGGGCAGAGACACCCTCCTCCCGTAGCCTCTGCCCCACTCCCGGGCACAGAGCGGAGGGCCATTCCTTCCCTCAGGCCATTCTCTGCATGTGGTCAGCAGTGTGGCCACAGGGGGAGACTGGGAGGTGACCACAGGACCAGCTGGCCATCACTAGCCTTAGTCATCCCCAGATGTGCCCATTGCCACCACCCTCCCCTCCAGTGGCCAAGGTGCTTTTGGGTCCAGCCAGGCTTGGCTACCCTGGGGGCTCCTGGTCCAGTTGCCTGTGGGCAGATCAGCAGGTGCCAGATGGGTGCATCCAGGGCCACCAAGGGCTGGGGAGGGCGGGGGGCTGCCAGGGGATGGCATGGGTGAAGGCTGGGAGGCCTGGGGTTCTGGGGGCCTGGAGGCTGGCAGCCTGGCATCAGGGGTCCTGCCAGGAGAATTCACGTCCGGAAGGAAGCCCACGCAGGCCACGAGGATAGCTCTCCGGCGTGACCCATCTGCTCTCACCGTGTACTTCGAAGGCACGATTACCGTGTGACCTGCAGGCCTGACCCCAGGACTTGCCCGAAGCTTTGTTGCCTGCCCCTGCCCCTCCCCCAGACTCTGACGGGGGACCCTGTAGTCGAGGGACTGGGGCTGCAGAAGCAAGTGGGCTTGCCCCACAGTCTTTGGGGTTAGCTGCTGTGAGTAAGGGCTGGTGAGGTCCGCCCGTGGGAGGCTTGAGGTCTTGCGTCTGGTTCACAAGGTTCCTTCCCTCACATCCCATAACCACCAACCAGCGTGATGGAGAAAAGACATGAAGCCCAGTACAAATGAGGAGGGCCTTTTGGGAAAAGAACAGAACCGAGGGGAGGGTGGCAGACCCGGAGGCAGGCTGGGCGGGGCGGGGCAAGCTCAGGTCTCTGCGGCCTTCCCCGCACACCCAGGCAGCTGGGAAACCGCGGCAGCAGCCAGCGAGGGCTGGGGGAGGAGTGTTGGCAGCTAGTGTGCGAGGAAAAGGGTTAAGGTCCTCAGCGTGCAAGGAGTTCTTATGTATTGACAAGAAAGAGCCGAAAGCCAGCAGAGAAAAGTGAGTAAAGGGCTGAACTGACAACTCCCAGAGGAGGAAATCAAATGGCCAATGAAAAGCCAGTGAAGGGAGAGAGGTGCTTGCTGCCTGTTTGTCTGGCAAACTGTAAAGGGTGTGAGCCACCGTGTGCTGGTGACGGTGGGAAGGAGATCGTGTGAGTCGCCATACGTGGCCTTATTGGAAGACAGTCTGGCAACAGCTCTTAAGAATATCCCTGGGAAACCCTGAGCCAGCACCTCCCACTGGGGCTTTCTGCACGGGTGTCCATGTCCCACAGTTCACGCCATTAACGGGCAAGGCCAGATGATGTGGACGGCTATCCTGGAAGAGGCAGATTGTTCAAAAGGCTTGTTGAGGGAGAAGCATGGTTGGGCCTGCAAGAGGCCCGAATACTCTCTGTTTAAACTGATGAGGTCAAGCTCACAGTGATGAGGTGTGTTCCGCTCACCCACTGTGACACACACGCCTTTATAATGTCTGATGTTCAGTCCTCACCTCCTGGTGACAGCGTGGACAGAGGTGGCCCCGGTCTGCCCTGTCTACCTGTGCTGCTCTCTCCAAGCCTTGCAGTGTGCATGCCCCAGCCTATGTGGCCAGGCTCACCCCCTCAACCCCAAACAGCCACCCCCCGTTACTCCCTGCCCTGGACGTGTGCCCTAGAGGGACAGACCCCACCCTGGGGAGGACAGACTCAGGGCACATCTGCCTTGTCTAGAACCTTCCATCACCATTAGGATGAAACTCAGATCCACTGTTTGCCCTACTATCCAGAAGGGACACGTTGTGCCTACAGCTCCTCTAGTAGGTCTGTGGGGGGGGGGGGG